TCAATCATTCATTTATTTAACACTATTTCAAACATATGAATTTGGTTATTTAATGAACCTCACCAGTCATGTACTGTAAGATGTCATCTTCAGAATTTGTGCCTTGATGCAAATGACTACGAAGTACATTGCTAATTTCATTTCCATATATCAAGTTCAAATCTTGATAGTTCAGCAAGGGCTTCTTCCTATATAGACGTGCATCTGGAAGTGCCTACATCAACAACAGAAGTGTAAAAATGTACACAACTTAATGCTATCAAATACAAGTAAAAATATACCTTGATGTAATTATCCCAAACATCATCATCAGCCACTATCATTTGTTCTTTTTCGTCCCAATAAAATCCTTTAATTGCAAGTATGCTTCTGACATCAGTATAGTACTTCAACAGTTTCTTATAAAGCTGTTTTAAGAAACTTTTCCTATATTGAGAACCAAACTTTGCGTTGAACAATGTGACCATGTCTTTCCAAGCCTGTTTCTTGAATGAATTATTGGTCTTACTTCCTTTTCCCAGTTGGTCCAGCATAAGCTTCAGAAAAAATCGGTCCATGGGTGGTTTCCAATCTGTATTTGTTTGCACTTTACTTGCAGGGGGAGGAACACAGCCAGGGCCAGGGGCAAGGGTAGGGCTATTCATTCCGACACCTTTAAACCGAAAAAACAAAAAACCAAAGAAACATAAATAAGTAAATGAATATATGGCCCAGGAGAGAACAGACATTAGAAGCCGACCCCAAATAATTGAGAGAAGGGACAGTTGTTCAAAGTTGGAATAACTAAGAAAATTTTATTCATAAAGAACAGTTCATGCTTGTTAATTTGCAAAAGTATTAGCTAAGTCAGTATAATAAAATCCAATGTTTAGCAATTAATTCATAAATAGTTAAGTTACTATGACTTTCTGGACTCACTTATTCAAGAAAAATTTACTACCCCTTCTGGCTAAGCACCTGGAGCATATCAGAGAGGAATAGCTTGCAAAAGAACTGAAAGCAAATTAAATTGAGGTTTTAGTTTCACTTTTAGGTTATGATTGGCTTCACTTAATTGAAAAGAGCAGCAGGCGAATTATTTATAAAAAAATACTCACTGCAACATACAAATCATCATAACTAACCAACATAATAAATTTCAACTTGTATGAGAAAATATATCACTATGTCATTAAAGGATTTAGAGACACACCGTCAGTCATTCCCTGAATGTCATCATCGAAATCTATATCATGACTTGAAAGGCTGTATCTTCCATCTGCTTTGGTATGCGCATATATCAAACACAAATCATTGAAGGTCATCAAAGCTTTGTTCCTGTACAACTGTGCATCTGGATGAACCTGCATGGACATTATTTCAATTACCTTTCACAAATTAGAAGACATTCACAAGTGGATATAAGCTAAGTAATGCACCTTGACATAGGCATCCCAAGCATATCTATCAGCAATCACCATTTGCCGAGTGTTATCCCACGAAAACCCATTCTGATCGAGAAGATTCTTTATATCGTTGAATTGCTTCCACAGACTAGTGTAATGACTTTTCAAGATATTTACATCATAGGGAGACCCAAAATTGGCGTTAAACATGACCAACATGTCATTCCAAGCTTGTTTATTGAATGTATGGCCCATCCTATTCCCCCTATGAACCTGATCTAACATAAGATCAATAAAATAGCGTTCCATAGGTAGGGTCCAACTCGTCCTTAAGCGCTCACTGTTTGTTGGGTTTTGGCTGCCCATTCCCTCCCTGCAACAATGAAATTTCATCATAACCATAATAAAACCAACCCCCATCCCCACCTTGCTTTGGTGAATTACAAACATTTCAATTGATTAATTAAACACCAGCCAACCTAGTCATGTCACTGCAACACCAGAGAGGTCAGGAAACTAGCATCTTACAGGCTTTCAGTAGTTCGGCGGTAAGTAAACTGGTTTTCAGTCAAAGCAACTTCAAAAGTTTTAGCCAAAATCCGATGAAAATAGCTGCATGATTATATCCAGACTCAAATTAGGAATCAAAATTATGCATATAAAGCATAAGCTAAAGAACGATTATTAGTATGGCATCTGAGATAAAATTGTATTTACGAACTATTCGGTCTCTAAACAAAGAAAAACTAAAAAGAAACAAAGGAAAATGAAATTCAATTATACATTGATTACTGTTTTGAGCTTAGTTTCTGCAAACTGCATCTTATCAAACATCACATTTAGCCATGAAGTGATCAAAATGCAACTTTATGTGAGTGCGTGTGAATATATATTTGAATGTAAATCCAAGAGATTTTAGGGTTTGGCATGGCACCTTTGATTTCTTAGTGAGCGAAGAGCGAGAAGCAGGAGAGCTCTGGCACCGAGTTTGGATTTCACGGGTCTTTGAAGCTTTACAACATTCGGAGCCTCTTTAACTTCCGTTTGGATGTTTGGAGTGTCATATTCCTTGTCCGGAGGTTGGGCTATGCCGTTGTGGCCTTCAGTTTTTTTTTTTCCTTCCTTTATGGGCTTTGGCCCATCCATACCAACAACAACAAAAACACAAAGACAAAAAATAAATGTTAAAATCTAGCCTGGCTTGGGACAGACGTTATTCTTAAGACAAAGACAATATTCATGATATCTGAAATATAATTCATCACTTCAATTCCTTCCAATAATTTTCGTAAAATCAATTACAAGCATACTGCATACAAAATTCATGGGTAAGATAGAACCCCAATGACTTTCATGAAATTAAGAACCCTAGCTAGGTAACACAACCGATTTCATCACTTTCCACCAAATAGAACGTGAAAATTTAATTACAAACATTTAAGATCGTGGTGGACTGTACAAAAATTTGTACCCAATAATCATGCCTAATTTATGTTACAAATAAAAAATTCTCTATAAATAAGGATAAAATACAATAAAAATAAGAAACGATCAACAAACACATGAGCGCAAGTCGAGAGACTAATTTATAAATAAAAGCATTCTACTATAATTTTTCATAAAAACCAAAAAACGAGTGTCGAGATCATTTTCAACTCCTCCTATTCTAGGTTATTTTATTTGTCGCTAAAAGACTCATCAATGACAATGGCATTGGGTCCCAAACATGGATGTGAACCACCTTCAACGTTTCTTTTTGCATTCATGTTCATGTTCGCGTTTGAGTTCTTGTTCTTGTTCTTGTTCATCTTCTTGCTCTTCTTCATGTTGTTGTAGCATGGCTGCTTCTTGTTTTCTCTTTCGGCAAAGTGTGGATTGCGATAGTAATTTTGGTCTAATAAGGATGCAATCACTTTGCGTTTTGGTGGATGAACGGGTGCATTTGGTGCCATTTTTGGTGTGCGTAAGAGTGGTTGCATTGGGAGCACCGAGAGCAAGAACGACTGAGATGACTGAGTTTGGCTTTTCTCTCGTTTCTCTTTTTGTTGAACCCTCCATGTTCAATGTGTGCTTCATCATGCATGTGTAGAGTGCAAAGTGTGAATTGAAGAGAACATGTATTTAATTTATAGGGATATTTGCAATCTTATGTTCAAATAAGGGAAAGTCTACAAATCCAAAAGCAATAAGGAGAAAATAGTATCAGTTTCCTTTTTTTTTGGGGGGGGGGGGGGGGGGGGGGTTTCCACTTGGCTAAATCCTGTTAATAATATATAATATAAGTTTCAACCTAGGGCTATTCACATATAATTGATTCCTTGCATGAAAAGGAATTTAATAATTTCAAAATATTAACGCACACGCGAAAAAATAATAATAATAAAGAGGTCCGGTTGAATTAGTTTCCCAATGCAAGAATTAGGAAACCAAGTTATATAGAGAATCTTGGCCAAAAAAAAAAAAAAAAAAAAAAACAAGTTATATAGAGAATCCAAAAATGCGAGCAAATCTCATATTTTTATTTTTTGCTTTATCAGAAGTGAAAACCCTCTTCGTGTCTATGATCTTCTTTATATTATCCAGATACACAATACTAAAAAACACCATCATCTATATTCTTGTGACAAGCGATATCGCAATATTCAGATATGAAATAAATAAATAAATAAAAAGGCGATTAGAAGCTCGGATCCTAGTAAGATACAGAGAAATGCATTCACTAGTAAATCCACCACTCTCACAGGTGCCCTATATTTGTGATTTTGCAACACAACTTGCATAGCTGCAAATTTACATGAAAACCAACCATATTGCTAATGTCCATATATATGTCGAGCAGAAGATTCGCGAACTTCTGGAAATTCTTTCAACCTCTTGAGTCTTTCTTCGAACAACATCAGGGGAAGGACAACATTCTGAATCCAATTCGAGCACTGTAACTTTATATTGCATGCATTATGCATATAGTGCTAGTGAATTTTGTTCTACTTTCTCTGCTCAGCATTTTTGTTATTCCCAAACAAGCTAAACTCACCCCAGTAACAAAATTGATGATGAGCACCACCTTCTACAAAATACTATGAATAAAAACGTCTAGAGCAGAAAGACGTACGTGTGGTTTGTGTGTATATTTGTTTTGGGTTAAATGAAAATCACATCAATGTACATGTTAAAGCCTTTGAACTTGATGGTCTTTTCTCTTGAGAGAATTGATATTAATTCGTTGTTCTACTGACTTGAATCTTTGATTTCTTGGTCTCCTAAATGGCCTACAATATTATTGGGAAGTAAAATAGACGGCTACTGAAAAACAGAAGGAACAACCACTCAAATCAGCAGACAGAAAGTAGGGCAATATTCCTTTTAGATGACGATATCTGTCTTTTCCGGCGGTTTTAAATCTTTTGCAACGGGTTTTGAAGCATTCGTGACGATTTTAAGGTACCTATCAGGAGAGTGCCTATAGCAGCGCTTTCTACCGTCGCTAACCGCTGCGATTACTTGTTTTTGAAACGGTTTATAGAAACCGCTGCTAAAAGTTGGAAAAAAGTTAAAAGACTATTCTTTCATCCACTACCCGTTTTTGGTGTTTTTTTCCCTTCGCAAAACAGAGAGTAAATTGGGAATGTCATTTAAATCCAAATATTGTTACAAGTTTCTCTCAAGTTATTTCCTAGTGTATTTTTTTAATGAAAATATCGCACACATGAAACAAAACAATAGCATGATCTCATATATCTCACTCTCTCTCATGTTTTTGGTAAGGAAATATGACAATAAATGATTAGCACATCTGCTATGTCCCATGACTCTTGCACGGTAGAATGGTTCTTGGCTGCTGCAAATTTAACTTGATCTGCTCCAGTGCCTAGGCTAATAGAGCCAGCCCAAATAGTTTGAACCGGGCACGCTTTAGAATCGCTCAGACTCCCATCACACATGAAGCCATTTCCACAGCTACGCATTATTATGAGAATGACTGCTGCGATTCACAAATACAACAGGGTCAGAAAAACTCCAAAAGTAATTTCATGCATCTGTGTGTACGAACACTAGATAAGCAAGAACAAAGAAAATATCAGATTCATGCAACAAAAAGCATAAGACACGAGGTCCTCAGAAAGAAGAAAAAAAAAAAAAAAAGGCTTATGAAATCAAAATAATTACAGCATATGACAAATTTTATCTAAACAAGAAGAAAAGAAAGAGTCAGCCAAAACTAGAGTCTTACAACACCAGACATAAACTAGAGAGCCTAGAAAGGAGTAGCATTCGTACGATAAAAATATCTGTTTCAACATCTCATAAAAGTAAAATTCTGATTCCAGTTTCCCTTTCTTGTCGGACTGTAGAACCTTGTGGAGCAATATGTTTCACCTAAACAAAGGAACCATATGTCTTCTATCTTCCGAAACCAGAACTTAGAGTTTAAAATACAAGACCAAAGAATTATATCAAACAGGAGAAAGCTTTTTAAAACAATAAATCAATATGCCAATACCACAGCACAGTGACCCAAAGCAATCTATCAAGCAGACCCAAAGGGAACTAGGATGCTACTAACTTCCAGACCTTGCAGCTTTTCGTGTTGTGGAACAAACACTTACAGCATCACATGATGCTCAACTACATACATATATCAAAAAACCATTTATCCAACATTTTTGAAACTCCATGAACATGTGAAACTCAATTAGTATGAACACAATTGATAAAGGTGGCAATAATTAAGGAGTCTCTAAGACTCAATTGCTAAGTTTTAGTTGTTAATAGAGATCAGCATCCCACTCTCCAAGTATTTTCAGTTCTAACGTATGACCTACCTTTCAGTACCCTTCTATTGGGACAGAGATAAAATTCCATTATCTTAGCACCTAATTAGCCATTTACTTGCTATCTATCTACATCTCTAAGGTGACTTCCAAGAAAACATAAGACAAAATGCATCTTTTCTTAAGGGGTAAGGTAATCAACCCAGATAGCTGCTTCAAGTTTGAAGAGCACAGAGTTAACAAAAGTTATATCAGACCCAATTAGCAACTACATGATTGGAGGTTACAGTCCAGAGAATCACTCATAAGCCCACAATATTTGAATTGAAGTTCTAAAATATATTAAGTATAAGATTTACCATAAAGAAGATTAACACTGCCTTGAACCGAGCGACTTGTGCTTTGAACCGTAATGTAGAACAACCCAAACACCCTTTAGCGCAGGCCTCCAATGGTCATATCCTCTGCTTCGAGTTCTGGAGAGAAAAGAGAAAAGAATGAGAAAGAAAAAGCCCAAAGCTTTCGACTTTTGATTTTGACCCAGAATATTGAAAACCAAATCGTTGGTCTCTTTCAAAAGTTAATTTTTCAACCAATTAGATATGTATTGCCAAAGCCAGTCTTTACCTTTTCTTGACTAACTCGACAGAGGTGTCATGCCAGCGACGATGTCGACTAGGGAATTAGGGTTAGGGATTTTGATTCCGCCGAATGGATTTGAGGATTAAACTTTCTGGAGAGGCAACAGCGAGCGATAGCTGGTTGTGATCAGATTTGGGCTACACTCGCAGGCCCATGACAGTAGTTTTACTCGTCCTTGTTTGGACTTGCGACTTTTTAACCCACGATATTGAAAATCAAACGGCTTTTTTGGTTTCTTTCCAAAGGAATCAGATTTTTTTATTTTTTTTTCCATTCTCTTTTTCTTTAGCATAAGAGCTGAGCATAACTTTTATCTTTCTTTTTTTTTTTAATTGCGTTTTTGTTTATCATCTAAAATTATTTTATTTTTATCTAAATATATGTAGCAACAATTCATTATAATTAAAATTTTAAACAATTGCTTCATTTTAAAAGGACAAATACGTAAAACAATAGTCTATTAAAATGTAAATAATTATAAAAGTAAAAATGAATCATTAATCAATGTTCCACAAAAACTTTCTATAGATGAAGATAAAATAAACTTTAAAAAAAATTATTGATATGAGTGAGCGAAAGTCGAGATGCTAATATATAACTAAAATATTTCTAATAGATTTTTTCCTAAACTCTTCCTATTCCAGGTTATTTTCGTCATCGCTAGAAGAATCATCAGTGGCATAGGGGTCCCAAACATGGATGCGAACCACTCTCATGGTTGTCTTCTTATTTTTGCGTTCATGTTCATGTTCATGTTTGTGTTCATATTCGTGTCCGTGTTCTTGTTCTCGTGGCAGTGTCGGTTCTTGTTTTCTCTTTCGGGACGGGGTGGTTCGTGAGAGTAGTAGCGTTGCTCTAAGGTTGTATTTACTTTGCGTTTTGATGGATGAAGGGGTGCATTTGGCGCAGCTTTTGTGGTGTGGAAGAGTGGTGGCATTGGGAGCATTGAGAGCAGGGACAACTGGGTTCGACCCCATGTCCATGGTCAGTGTGTGCTTCATCTTGCGTAGAGAGAGCAAAGTGTGAATTGAAGAGAACAAGTCTGTATTTAATTTATAGGGACATTTGTAATCTTATCATCAACAATAACGGAAACTCTCGAAATCCAATAGCAATGTGGAAATATGATCCGTTTCCAATTCCCCCCTAGGCCTGTCCACATAAAATTCATTACTTGCGGCGGGCAAGGAAAATTAATTAACATTAACACACCCACTAAATTTGTCCCAACCTTCCAATACCCTTCAAATTTATTCGTTATTTAAAACAATTTTTAAAATTTTAAATAAATAAAAAACTGGGTTACAGGGGTTTCCTTGGGGGATACAGAGGCTACGGACTGCAAGACGCTACAGTAACTCCAATCCAATGCAAGAATTAGCACACCAAGTTACAGAGAATCCAAAATCCAAGCAAATCTCAATATATTTCTTTTTTCTTATCAGAACTGAAAGCCTTCCGTGTTTCTAAGTCTATAAATTTGGCAATGATCATTCCTTGTTAAGAGAGGCTAAAGCTACAGAACAAATACAAACACAACCTCATCTATATTCCTGTGGCAAGCGATATCCAGACATGACTATCTTGTCAGCAAACATTTTGCCAGTCTTGGGCATCACATGCCAGTGCAACGTCAAGTTGAATTCTTTACCCCGGAGATTGCTACCCTACACAAGCAACAATCATAAAGATTGTCAATTTCCGATTGAACCACTAAACTACACTAGATCTTTATTCTTCATAACGCCAAGAAACAGATGCAAAGAATGGAAGGGACTCTACTAATTCATGAAGACGGCATACCTGATCAATGAAACGGTACTTGTTTGAAGTATGAATCCAAAACTTTGCATGCTCTTTGGTTGGTATGATCCCATCCCACAGAGAGATCTGTAAAATAGAGAGCAACGACTTATGTAACCTGCAACTAAAGCACTGGTACAGTCAACAAGCCCTAGGGATGACAACCTCATGTTTATCTCAAGAAAAGCAAAACCGAAACATATAACTAAAGCAGAAATACAATTGAAAAAATATAACTCCAAAAGCAAATGTGCAGCCAGATCCAAAGTAGCTTTACCTGATTCAGTGAGTTCTTTGGGGTTCCGTACTCAGCGGCTAGAAAAACAAAAACCTGTCACGCATTGCAGATAAAAGTAGAAGGTATTAGCGTCAAGGTTATGAATCATACTTGCATGACATAAACTGGCAGGAAAATCAGAAAAGAGCTTCAATTGTCTTAGTGCCCGTTTGGCATTGCTTATTTGGGGTGATAAGTGATTTTAAAAAAAAATTGAGAAGCCCAACCCGTTTGGTAAACTGTGAGAAAATTACTTATTGTTAAAAATTGCTGTGAGAGAAAGCTATAAAGGAAAGCAGCTAATGAGGTGCTTTTATTTTCTGATTATACATGAATCAGTTTCGAAGAGGTGCTGGATTTAATGATTATGGGGCAATCATTTTCTAATTATGCGTAAAATAAATACCAACAACACTTGTAACAAAAATTTTACCAAACGCCAAACTGCTTTCTCTTACAGCTGATTTCTCTCACAACAAATCTGACAGCGATTATTTTCACAGCACAGCAATGCCAAACTGGCCCTTATTGTGTTCTGCATAATTTGAATTTCACTAGACACTCCAAAGAAAATGCAGCAAAACACAACAACAAAGACACTTCCTCAACGGAAATGAGGAGTAGTTTTTACTTTTGTTTATTGGCTTCTAGTCCTGTGCATGAAAGTTACATTTACTCTCAAACCCATGATTATCACAAAACTTCCTCGCAGTGTACCCAAATACTACTTGAAGAACACACAAGATATACTCAAAAAAATGTATGCAACTGTGAATTCCTGCTAACACATACACGCACAAATTTGTAAAATTGCAAACCTGCTTTGTGTTCCACGTAAACAATGACTGTAAGTCTGCTGATATATTCATAGTCATGCTGACCTGCATAAAATGAAAATCACTTTAGTTCATATCAAATTGTGATTCATTCCATACACATAATCTTCCTTTCTTAATCACCCATCTAATTTCTCTACAAATCAAAAGGGAAAATCCAATGTTGATGATCCAAAGCGTAACCAACTTGGAAGGGGAAAACAGTTCATGCAGCTCAGGAGCAGTTGTAACTGCTGCCAATACCAAGTTTATTATAACCCCGAGCTTTAGTAAATGCCCTCTTAGTTTGATCACCAAACAAAAATAAAAAGGCCTCTAATTTTCTTTTACCTGTTTTCCTATTGTCACAATCCCATTCTGTTTTCTTATATGTGTCACAAAGCTAAACACCAGCAACTACCACCTATAACTAGTCAAATCATGGACCACCTTTTCGACTGAGGAGAAATACCACATCTTTTAAAAGGCTGAAGGACAGTGATCTTAGTACTTGATTATCTATAAACAGACAGCCAATGAGCTCACACCAATATGTGGAAAGAGGTGATTAAGCTCTCCAGGATCGTAATATTAATGTTTTATATTTTACTTTCAACACATAAAATACACCTAGATCAAAGAACCAAATGATGTACTGAAACTAGACCACAAAACCCTCCGAAACCTGTACATCCATACATAGTCAATACAAACACAAATGCATACACATGGAAATTTGATATAGAAAATAACCCGAAGACCCTTGCTATAGAAAATAAATCCCAAAGTGGCAGTCTCTAAACTAGATTATAAAGAAGAATCAAAGAAAACCCATTTAAGCCAATACCAAATTGAATTCATATACAGAACAATTTCACATATAACCCATCAAACTATAAATTAGAGAAATGTACCTCGTCGTTGCCATTTGGTTGCTTCTGAAACCAATTGATGTTCAGCACCTAAATAGACCCAACAAGCAAAATCATACATAAAATCGAACTGGGTATTCTAATTCAAAACAAAATTCAAACTTTTTAAATCCTAGATCTACCAAAGAGAAGAGAAAGGACCTGGACTTGGGAAGTGGGAGTGGGGTGGTTGAGATTATCAGAGATAGAGGCCATGGCACACATGAGGGCCAAAATTGTGACTGCGAACGTTAGCAAAGCATTGGCTCTGTACCCAAACGAATGCATCTTTTTTCTTTCTTCCTTTTTGGGTTTTTTTGCTTCGTTTTCTGCTTGTTCTGGTTTTGGTCCGAGAAAGAAAGAAAGAGAAAATGTGCGTTTTCTTTTGGAGGGTTTGAAGAAACGAAGACTTGGGAGGTTTTGTTTTGTTTGTACTTTTAATAATCAAATCACAGAGAAAGTAGGGGATGAGAGAGTGTCACACTTTGGCAATACTGCTCAGTCATTGGACAAAGACACGTAGGTGGGGCCCTCCGTTTTTAATCTTGGCTTCTTGGCAATTTTTGCTGATCTGGTTTTTACCATGTCTGTAATTCTTTATTTATTCTATTCCATAATTTCTCCAAATATTGAACATGAGAAAAATCAATATAAAAAATTGGAAATTTTGAAGTTGCATGTAAAACCATTGGATCACTTGGCTATACTATTTTTTAAAAAAAAACTAGTAAAAACGCGTATAGCCGCTAGGCTATACGATTTGTTAAAAAAAATTTAAAATCTATTATAGCCGCATGGCTATACTATTTGTGAAAAACAAAACGAAAGACTAACGATTAAGCGCCCACGTGTACAGCCAGGCGGCTATACTATATAAATACAACCGAGTACCGCCGCGCGGCTCTACTATTTTCTAAAAATAAATTTTAAAAACCCGGTATAGCCGTTCGGCTATACTAACAAAAAAAACCCTGACAGCGCCACGTGTCAAACAAGTAAAGCCAACCGGCTATACTATTTTTATTAAAAAATTAGTGAAAACACAAATACAGCCGCGCGGCTATAAAGACCCGCCAAGTGCCTAGGCGCCAAGTGTCAAAAAAGTGCCTCTAGGCTACACTATTTTTTTAAAAATTAGTAAACACGAATATAGCCGAACGGCTATACTATTTCTTGAAAAAAACATTTGTATTAATTATTAACTGTTGCTTCTACAGGAAAATAACAATAAAACCTGGCTCTTTGGGCTCTGGGGCTCTTCAAAGGAAGGCTTTTTCTTTAATTGGCAAAATATTATATTCCCTTTTAAAACAAATGATAGACCCAACAAAATA